TTACATTAGATCAAAAGGCGTTGTCATAACTCGCTTCCAGACTCTGCTTACAAAGTTGCTCTGTGATAAGTGTCACCATATTTGTAGCTACAGTCCAGGGGCGGACATGGATTCAATGGAGATTTAACCGGGGCAGTGGAAATCCTGCCTGGTTTTGTGGTGTTCCTCAAACACCCCGACCAACAGAGGTGACTTGCATGTCCCCCTATTCCCAGAACATTTTTATGGACCTGGAGGGACATTTGAGACATAGCACAGAAAGCAATTTAGTGAACTGAAAAAACAACAACAACAAAAAAAAACAATTCACCACAAAGTTTCACCACTGCTGCATTTAAGGGAAGTAGTGAAGTAAATATGTTTTAAATGCACAAATGAGACATATGGAGAAAATTTAAAGCCAGCCCCTGTCACACATGAAAAGGCAGAGGCAGAAGTTCATGTTCACAAAAGACAGGGAGAACACATGAATGTGAGGAGACTCAGAACAAAGAAGCACTTCACATTCCATCATGCATAGTGAACACGGCCACTTCTGACTGGGATTTTGGACGTGAAGTAGTGCGATTTCAAAGAAAATGATAAATGTGGCTCAAGTAACAACCTTTGAGACTATACCATGGCAATCAAAGTAAGTTGGGTCTAATAAAAACAAATGACCAGAGTTGTGAACTGCAGAGAGAATGGAAGGGGGGAGGGAAAGACGAAAGGGGAAGAGATGGGGGGAAGTGTGTGAAAAATGAATGGGATAGAGGCTGGAAGCATACTATAGTATCTCTGCAAAGAGGACAAAAGAACAGTGCACAGGTCTGAATGACTTAGGTTACCAAGGCAAAGCCAAAATGGTGTGGTGTGTAGAGACTAGTACTACCAGTACGTGTCAGGGCGCAACTTTATTAGAAATAAAATCTTAGATACTTTAATTGAGTCCATGCAATCAGCACATTTACTCTGGTGTGTAAAATGACCATCAAGCCTCACGAGGACATCTGGTCAACAGCTCAAACTGAAACTAAAAGGGAAAGTTAACACGTCAATTTCAGCCGTTGTACTGAACCGTAACAAGTGCAGAGCACAAAGCAGGTACAATTACTTTATTTATTCGACAAACACTGCAAAATCAGAACATAGACTGAAAATGTGTCATTTATACCTGGACTAAAACGTGTATAGATGTTCAAGGTCTTTGTCACAGTGTTTAAAAAAAAAAAAGAAAAGTGCTTGTGCAGTGTTTCCCCTTGTTCTACACTGGTATTCGAACACACCCGAGAAAAGCTCAGAAAATGTTTTAAATGGTCTATCAAAAACTACCATCCAAAACCTCAAAAATTAATACCAACTCAAATAGTTTGTTCATGTCTACAAAGCAAAGATTATTTGGTTTATTAAGATAGGATCAATGACAACAGGAAATCTAACAGGTAGGAAACGAAGAAGTTGTTTTAATTTATGGTTATATAAAGTTGTTGATAACTGTTTTAGCCGTTTCACATAGATTACATTCAGTCATTCCTGCCAACCTGGACTAAACTCCACGAGGCCACTAACGAAAGCAGCTCCCCAACATCACAAAACGACTCCGTTTGCTCAAATGCAGCAGGGCTGTCAGCAGTTAGCTATTACAACACATAACATGGCTTTTAAATCTGACCTAAATGTCATTAAAATACATGGTGTAGCACATGTGACACTGCACACTTCCAGCGCCAGGATCCCATGAAAAAAATGACTTCAGCTAGTTTTAGATTGACTGTTTATTAGCATCACTGAAGTTAACTGTAGAAGACTATCTATATCAAGCTAAGACAGTTAAACACGAAGCTCGGTTAAGTGGCTAAAGTCGACTTTAGCTGATCTCCGACAGCATGCAGCCCGCGGTGCACTGAATGATTAGCCGGCTGTGTTAGCTTGCTCAAAGCATAACAAGTGTTCTGTGTGTGTGTGTCACCGGGAAATGACATGACATCCGACCAGGCTACATTCACGAGTTGTAAGAGTAGACTATGAAAAAAGTCGATGGAATTTCTGTAAACTGGATGGCTTAATTATATTTGAATGAGGTGAATGAGTTGTAGCCTTAGCTCGGCTATATGCTAACATGCTGCAGCTGATGTATTACCTGCATTCAGCGGTTCCTTAGCAACCGAGGTTGCACTCTCTGGGCCAGAGGAAGCGCAGTCCGTCGACTATTTATAGGCTCAGGGCGATACCACTGCACAGGGGTGCACCGAGCACGCCGTCATAAACAAATCCAACGGAAGAAATACGCTATTTTGTAGTGTTGGGATTTTCTCAAATATGTTTTGTTTGTTTGTATGTTTTCCCATTGAAACAAAGACTGGTAAAAAAAAAAGTTTTGATGTTGTCTCATACTAATCTGCAGAATTTGCTGCCCCGCAGTTAAGCCATTCTTAATAAAGTGACATCATAATTTACGTTTCAAAACGTTGTTACACTTGCAAACAAAATACAAACAAAATGCAACTAAAACCAAAGTTTGAAGTTCTGTAACTTAGGTTGACAGCTTTTATTTTTATTCTCGCTTTTTATGTTTTGCCTGGCCTTCACATACACTTATCTTCAGAAGATATAGGGAGTGCGGGGGGATCTTAATGCACAAAGGCCAAGAAGAGACACGGAGTTACGTGATGTACGTAACTTTTACGTCTTTGGGTGATATGGCATTAAAAATTGCCACGCACCCATGAGCACGCACAGAGGACTTTAACAGGGGACCTGCAAACCTTAAGGGAGCATACAGGAAATTGGGCGCAAACTTTTTTTGGTTGACTAAACAATTTTATATACTTTCAGAATATCTTTCACCCGTTTATTTAAGTAGAATTATCTTCTTTAAATACGCATGGACACAAATTCAGCATATTGCATATCCCTTGCAATGCTCTCGCAGGCCACTAGGTGTTCCACTTTTTCCCCTGGTTCAGATGAACCGCAAGAAACGTTGGATTGAAGGTTCGCTATAAAAGTGCAAACGCTGTGAAGCAAAGTTGCCTGTTTGTCAAATGAATCATGTGACCAGAAGGAAACGGTATTCGTTATGGCTCAGCAAAGACTCAGCAAAGAAGAGACCCTCGACCGCAGGTTGAAATTAATCGGGTATGTGTACCATTCACTACGGTCGTTTGGTTATTACGCTTGTATACATTGCAGTGTTTAAAGTGAATTGTGCACACGTCGGTCACTCATGTGAATCTCTGTCATTACAGACAGTCATGTCGGCTCTTCTATTCGGACGACCCTGTGAAAATACTAAGGGCCAGGGGGCAGTATCTGTTCGATGAAAACGGTACTCGCTATCTGGACTGTATCAGCAACGTCCAGCATGGTATTGTATTTAGCTTTCAGTCAGTACTGGATAATAACTGCTGCTTACTGACATGTGTTATGACCATACTGTGTGTTGTCTCTCACAGTCGGCCATTGCCACCCCAGCATTACTAAGGCTGCAGCAGCGCAAATGGATCTCCTGAACACAAACTCGCGATTTCTTCATGACAACATCGTCCGGTATGCAGAACGCCTGGCTTCCACCCTGCCCAAGAAGCTGTGTGTCTTCTACTTTGTCAACTCTGGGTGAGTATCTCTGCCCTTTTTCACAGCCAAAGACCTGAGGTAAACCCACTGATCAGACGGTGATGTCTGAACTACTGCTTGTACTGTTAAATACAGCCAAAAGCTACATAATTATCGTGATTTTGAATGTATTTATGTTAATCATACTAATTTATGTTAATTATACTACTATACTATTCAAACGTTGACATATACCCTACGCCCTCATACATATAATAATATAATAATTCATAGCCCACTATACTCAATATACCATTGAACATACTACTAATACTACTTATACTATTAGTTCGGTCACGGTCATAGAAACCTGTTATTTGTTCTACTGTTACAATTTTTGAAATACCTGAATCCTATGGCCTAATATATTTAATCATAGTAGTATTTAAATCTGTAATAATTTTTTTTATTGTTTAGTTATATAGCATTATACTATGTACTATCTTGGCTGTGTCAATTCTGGCTCCTGCTGGCGGTTACAGTACCAATTCTGACCAATAGGAGCTGGATTAAAAATAAAACTATGACCCAGGTAGATTTAAACTCTTATCATGTTTCAAATGCACACAGTGTCGAGTCAACTTTATACACAGTTTCACCCTTCGGTGGTTTTACATGTACATACTTAATAATTGACAGATTTATGTCCAATTTGTCATTAAAGTTTACTTTCTGCAATTTTGACAGCTCCGAGGCCAACGATCTTGCCCTTCGCCTGGCCCGCCAGTACACTCAACATGAGGACGTCGTTGTCCTGGACCAGTGAGTGTTGTGATGCTCCACCCTTCACCCTCTGACAATATACACATTTACTACAATTTCTTCTTCTACATCAGTGCATACCACGGGCACCTAACGTCCCTTATAGACATTAGTCCGTACAAGTTCCGGAAACTGACAGGACAGAAAGAATGGGTTCATGTGGTGTGTAAACATTACCTGTTACCATTACTCAACCTGCTAAACAACAATGGACAGCTGTTTGTCCTAATGTGGCTTATTATCCCCTAGGCTCCTTTACCAGACACCTACAGAGGAAGGTACAGGGAGAATCACCCCAACCCAGGCCAAGCCTACGCCGACACAGTGAAAGACCTAATAGAGGAGGTGCACAGCAGAGGACGGAAGGTACACGTCATGAGTTTTTATTTCAGAAAATTATAATATTTTAATAAGGACGGTGCAACTAAGATGTTGGTTATGTTAATCTTTTTAGAGCAAACAAATGCTCTAAAATGCATGACAAATTAAGTTGTGAAGATGAAGCTTATTAAAATTTGTCATGCATTTTAGAGCATTTGTGCAGAATGATGTGTACTGTACAATAATAATACCTATACATAGTAGTTCATACACATGTAATTAATTGCACACACTATCATGAAATACCGACTCATACAGCTGAGGCTTCAACTTCATCTCAAACCTGTCAGACCAGCCTCACTGAGCACAGAGCAGTAAATAAGTTTAAACTTGACTGACAAGTTTAGCAATTCATATTGGTAATTATTGTTGGCTTCAAGCAGCTTTGGACACTTTCTACAAGATATAATAATGTTTCTATCATATAAACAAGTGTGAAACCCTTACATCTACCAACTGTTATTTGTCTACAGAAAAAAGTAGTTTGTCACTTTCAGGAACGTTGAATAACCTTGATTAATCATGATGAATCCATAGTTATCAATCGAATAATCTGATTCATGTTTCATCGAGTGAGAGCCCTAATTTGAATATAAATGTTTTATTATAATAAAACACTGCATCGATAAAAATCGATTAGGAAAAGGCTATTTTAAACTGACATAATTATTTTTTCCGTAGATATGTGCATTCTTTGCTGAATCACTGCCGAGTGTCGGAGGACAACTCATCTTGCCACAGGGATACTCTGCTAAAGTTGCAGAGTGAGTGTGGACTCACTGGATTTGACTCAATTCCTGTTCAGAAAATGTTGACAAGGTTTGCCCCTCTGCTGCCCCACCCAGATACGTGCACTCAGCCGGAGGAGTGTTTGTGGCCGACGAGGTGCAGACGGGTTTTGGGCGTGTGGGAAGTCATTTCTGGGCCTTTCAGCTGCAGGGGGAGGATTTCTGTCCGGACATTGTGACAATGGGCAAACCCATGGGCAATGGGCATCCTTTGGCATGTGTAGCAACCACTGTGGAAATAGCAGGGGCCTTCACAGCTAATGGAGTGGAGTACTTCAATACGGTGACCACACCAATGCTTCTTTTACAGCTGCATTGTAATATTCTAGTTGTTGGAAATTTTAAAATGTTTGTTATTCCAGCAGTTGACAGGCAAAAGTGTGTTACACCCTAAACTTTCCCCCAGTCCACCACTGGACCACGTAATGAGTCAAACAACTATTCACGCTCACACTCTGAACTCAGTTAAGATTGTGCATTAAACCTAACTCTGCACATTTTTTAATCATGTAACGTAGCTACAGGAGAACTAACCCTGAACTACCTGCTGTAAGGCAAGAGCACAGACCACTCTACCCTAACCAATAACGATGTGTCCAATCAGTAAGGTCACGATCATGAATCACGATTTATCAACGTTCCAAAATATAATCTTCTTCAAGATAAAAAATACATTTTATACACACTAAGACTTAAGTGTGTGGTTGTACATGTCAACAGTCTTGTTATGTCAATGTCTTAACAGTATCAACAGTCTTGTTATGTCAATGTCTTATTTGTCTTAGTTCGGAGGGAACCCAGTGTCATGTGCCATCGGCCTTGCCGTCCTTGATGTGATCGAGGAGGAGGACCTGAGAGGAAACGCCTTAAAAGTGGGAGCGCACCTCAAAGACTTACTCACAGAGCTACAGACACGACATCAGACGATTGGCGATGTCAGGTGATTCAGATTCAAATTCACCATTTTGCACCAAGTCACACTATTTTGACTCTACTTTAGATGATATTTTAAAACGATGAAGGCATGGGGCCTTACAATTCATTTGTAGAGTATACTGTAATAGTAGACGTTTAATTCACGTTTAAGTTTTTAAGAACAGTCTTGTGGTTTTGTATCTCTGTTAAAGGCTGAAGAACCTGAGCTAACAGCGTATCTGAGGTTAACCACCAGAGCGTCTTTAGTCATAACAACAGGCCTTAGTGTTCTTAGGTACTTAATCCTGCTACAGCTCCATATTTACTGTAAAAAACAAAATCAATTCACAGTATAGTTTTTTGGTTATAAATAAGCAAATCTAAGAGATGCTTTGATCCAAGGACCAGTTGGTTGCTCTAAGACGCTAAAAAGGTTTCTCTCTAGGTTAAGAAACACAAGAAACCCTTTGACATCTCTTATCTACAAGTCCATGATTATTTTATCTAACAGTACCTTTAACACTATGGTCAAGGGTTAAAAGCAGAGGTCACATTTTGTTGTGTGTGCAGTATCACAATGACGAACAATTCACTTTCAGACCTAATTTAATTTTACCATCTTCACAGAGGCGTCGGTCTGTTTGTGGGTCTAGAACTGGTGCAGGACCGAGAGCAGAAAACCCCAGCCACAAAAACTGCTGCACTAGTGGTAAAAAGGTAAAATAAAAAGACCATGACGGAGTTCCAAAAGACTATATCAACTGTCCGGAAACTTATCCCTCCTTCAATAATGATCTTTGAACTGGGGCGTAGGCTGAAAGAGGAAGATCGAATCTGTGTCAGTACAGATGGACCCTGGGAAAGCGTGGTGAAGTTTAAACCTCCCATGTGCTTCAGTATGGACGACGCAAAAGTAGTGGCCAAGTGTATCGATCGTATTCTCACAGGTTGACACACACACACACACACACACACACACACAACTAACCACAGTCACAATGTTTTTGACTGAACCAAGATGAAAATTGTCATTTTGTTTCCCAGACATCTCGGCCAGTGGCCTCAGACTTGGAAAAGAAGACATCTAAGGTTTGTCAAACCTGTAGAAAATGTTTTAATTTCATCACACATTGTCAGATGGTCACATTCATAAAATTCAGAGGTAGAGAGAAGGATGTTCGAGACTTTAAATTCCAATGGATCAAACAGGTTCAGTCACATCATCTGGCAGAACATGTTTTTGCCTTGCAGCACTGGGCATTATACAACTTTAAGATTAAAAGCCTGGCGTGTTTTCACATATGGACCAATTCAGCCCTCATCATAATAATCATACGTAGGATTTGTGTTGGTGTGGACACCAAAAACATTAAGACGCTGCTAGTCAACAAAAGCTGGAGTACACCAAAAGGGTCTAGAGCTTCAGAGAAGATGCAGCGTGAACACTAAGTCTTATCACACAGAGGACCAGAATTAGGTCAGGGCTCCATTTGAACCCTCACAATAATCATAGAAATCATTTTTGGACTGAATTTGGTTTGTATGTGAAAACCACATTACTTCAGTAATAACAGAAAACACGTCTGAAGGATAACTTCTCTATAACATGAACCTCTTTGACCAAACATGTTTTTACCCCCAGGGTTTCCACCCTACTACAAGCCTGATGAACCAGACAATCGATGGTTCTGATACTGGCTGTGTGACTTCAGTAGCACCTGGGAAAAAAATCACTGCAGCACTAGGGAACTACAAGTTCTTTGACCCTAATAAACATCTAACACTGAAGGTCATCTGTTTTTTTTTCCCTTTATCTCACAGCATTGAGTTTTAAAACTAGCCCCAAATACTTAAAGCAATACAAAGGGTGGTTTACATAAGCACTTACCAGATCACATTTTTTTAAAACTCTGGACACATTCACAATTGCTCAAGTATTGCAGTTTGACATGTAATGGACAGGCATTTACCATCAGCCAGTTACCTACAGGGAGTGCAGCCCTCTCCCACAGGCTCCCAGTGAAGTATCTGTAAATATTATCTTTACCCAGGATGAAACAAGCAAGCCGTTTAAGAGTACAAAACATTTAACATTAACTTTACAAATAATAACAAAAGGATCCAAGAGTAATATAAACAAAAAAGTTTATTTCTACCAATTTGCCCAAGACACTAGAGGAATGAGTTTCCAGTGAGAGAGGGGGTGCCCTCGTACATTAACAGGCTTGCATTTATTTGTATAACACTAGTAAAGCCACTTAAAATTGCAGACACGGTTGGGGAAGAATTTCCTTAAAAGCCAAAAGAAAGAAAAAACAGAACAAAAAAAAAATCAAACAAAAAAAAAACCCAAAATAGATGCTGGTTGTCTTCGTCTACTATGCCATCTGCAAACATTCACCCCATACGCTTACAATGGACCCTTTGATAGTTCATATCCCTTTTATAAATCTCACCCCACAAATGAAGCCATGCAACTCGCATCCAACACTCAGCACGAGAAAGGAACTAAAGATCTAGAAACACCAAAAGGGGGGAGGGGGAAAAGCATATTTGTTTTTATTTGTGAGCTTTAAAAGCTCTTGCTTGTCTGTAAATCCAGTAGACATGTAAAAATACAACCATACAATACATTAGATTCAAAAAGGTACCAAAAAGTACAGTAAAAATAACACTTCCATCGCTGGAAATGTAAATGGACACGAAACAATATAAAATAAAAAGTGGAAAAGTGACATTTGCTTCCCCAGTTCCTCACTTGTTCTGTACAAATGGAGCATGAGTCCAAATTTCTGCCAACTCCAAAGGAAAAGCCAGAGCCCCATGTTCGCTGTGGTCAGACCATGGTTCTCTTTGTTATTTACTTTTGACCTTAGGAGAAAAACATGGGCTTAATGTTACTGAGAACAAACCAAGAGACGGCATGCAGTTACACAGAGAGACAGGTGCATGAATGAGTCTTGACAGGTCAGTGAATGGGACAGAGTTAGGGAAGGGCACGGCCGCTAATTCAACCACCACCAACTCAACCCTTAGTGATCAAGTAGTTTTTGTACACACGCATGTTTAGATGACTGACAGATGGAATGAGCCCATCTCTTACGGTCAGAGACCTCCCCCCACACCACGGTCCTCTCCAACCCCACCCCAATGTTTGAATGGATTTAGAGTAGATGGAGATCTTTGGGATCAAATACACCAATGGTTACATCTATGTTCTAAGACTACCACGGATGATGCAAAAATGCATACCTGCACTACGTGTGATCAGTATGGCTTGTAGCTACTCGGGTGGCCTCCACGTCTTGGAGCTTTCCCATAGCTTGTATTGCCCTGGTCTGGAGGACAAGAGAAAAGGGGACTGAGTTCTTCTGTACAACAAGGAGGACCAAGAAAAAGAGTTTTTGTTTTCTTCCCTGGGGGCACTTATCGCTTACTGTAATCGTAGCCCCCATAGCCATAACCATAATTGGCATCATAGTTGCCATATCCATAGCCTTGCTGTCCATAGCCATAGTTCTGGTTGTATCCTTGGTTCCAATAGTTGTAGCCTTGATTCCAGTTCTGGCCTTGTCCTTTAAAAAAACCCAACAAAAAACAGGGGAAACATTTCTGTCACAACTCTGAAACACAAGAAATAGCCTTGTCAGACTTGGTGAGGGGAAAACAAAACAGCATGCTTACCCCGTCCCCTGTTGCGTCCCCCGAATCCACCGCGAGCTCCATACTGCTGCTGCTGGTAGACCTCTTTAGGCTGGGCGATCTTGACTTCACACTGGGATGATGACAATATTCAAGAGTGAATATAAGCCTCCAAAACAGGATACTTTACAGCCAGCTTGCATGTGTGCACAACGTTCGACATCCAGTTACCTTGCTTCCTCCAACGTTGTGGAATTTCTTCTCCCTGACTTTCTTGGCTGCCTCTTCGTCTTTAAATGTGATGAATACGAATCCTCTCCTCTTCTCAGTCTTGGGATCTTGGGGAAGCTCAATGGTCTCAATCTGGAGGTTACAAAAAAAAATCCCAGGTTATCTTTCATTTACTTTTCTCTAAATGCAAATCAACCAATGTAGATACATGTGGTCTATTCAGCAGCATGAAGACAAACTTATGTCTTACCTCTCCAAAAGTCCCAAAATACTCCTCAATGACTTCCTTTGAGGTTTCAGGATTAAGGCCTCCGACAAAGATTTTCTTGACTGGCTCCTTTTTGATGGCCATTGCTCTCTTTGGGTCGATCTGTCGGCCGTCCAGCTTGTGCTCTTTCTGTTCAAGAACCTAAACACATAATTTAAAAAAGTTAACAGATGAATCAATCCATCCACAAAATTAACAGCCACCATTTATGTTGACTGCATTTTTCTCACCTTATCCACACTTGACGAATCTTTGAAGAGAATGAAGCCAAAACCCCTGGACCGACCAGTCCCCTGGTCCATCTTGATGGTGCAGTCTGTCACCTCACCAAATTTGGAGAAGTAATCCTTGAGGTCCTTCTTGCTTGTATCCCAGCTGAGACCGCCAACAAACATTTTCCTAAGCACACCAAGAGATAGGTCAAAAGTTTAGCAATGATTTTGCTTCACTTGAGTGGCAAAAAAAATTTACTACTATATAAAAAAAAGACTACTATAGATACTACATTTTTGTTCCTATACTAATCCTTACATGTAAATGGTACTCTTTACTATATTTTAATTTCAGATGTAAGTTTGATCAATTTCTGTATCTATCAGCATCTCATTAGATATTTGACAGACCACCTTTATCACTAACTTTTAATCACGTCTCACGCAAAACGTACAGTAATGCAGCTAAATAAGTTGATGGACATGCACATTCTGGTGGTAGCCCCAGTATTCGAACATTATATAGTTGTGGGGTGAGGGTAGCTGCTGGGCAGGGGGTTGTAAATGTACATGCTGTTCCAGAGCATCTGTTGACCCCGTGACGTAGGAAGGCGGCCTACTTCTCTTACGCCTTTGTAAACATATAACCACTATTTTACACAATGACCACCACCGAATGAAACACAATCTACGCGTCTTCTTTACCGAGCTAAGATGTGATTGGGGCTGTAATCTAGCGCCCATCCCCCCCTCTTTGCACATGGCGCCAACAAAGGCCGTGCGAACAAAGAAACGCGGAAAACCATTTGCTCGTATTAACAATCGTTGCATCCACAAACGGCAGACATTATGGCCTTTAATACTCACCCGGCATCTTCCTCTCCTTTACTGGCGTCGATCTGGCCTCCCTCTGTGCCGCCGTTCTGAGAGTCCTCGTCAAGCACAGCGCTCTCTGCCGCGTCGTTCCCCTCCTCTTCCAGGCCGGCTCCGTTTAAATCATCATTCATTTCGTCGTTAATTTCATGTCCGTTTTGGGAAGTCTCCATATACTGCTGCTCTGCTTCAGACATTTTCCACTTTTATTCCTAATCCAAAGGAGGAAAAAAAAACAATGATTACACGAATAGGCCGATAGCGGCTAAAGACGTTGAGCCGGGCACCCTTCGCCATTTACACACCGACATGCTTGTCCGCATTTCCCACCATTTTGACCGGCACACTGGCGCTCCATTCATATACAGAGCGCCGTTTGTTACAGCGTGCAAGCAAAACACACCAAACCAAAGCTACGTTAATGTTAAACGATGAAACCAATCGCTTACAGAGGGAATTCCTGACCTAAACCACAGATTAGAAATAACGGTAACCGTCTGTATCTGAGAGATAAAGCTGGACAGAGCGGCGCAACTCAGTTACGTAATGCAGAGGCCGCGCTAGCAACACATAGCGCGCCTAGTTTCGTAATAAATACGGCTATGTGGATAATTTTTCCGAGGACAAAAGGCGCATACACAATAACATTATAATTTACGTGGCAGATCATCGAAAATCAAAAGATAAAACAATACGTAAAGCAACTTACTAGTCACACAACCGGAGAGCGTTCTCTTCAAGATGGATTCTCCCACACGACGACGACTCGTGGTTGGTTTTCTAGAACCGGTAGGCAAGAAACCACGTGTCCGCAAAGCAGACGTGTGATTGGCTTCTCCATATTGCCACGACTAAAGCCACCAATCATGTGGGCGCTGCATTCTGACCTCAAGAAAGACGTTCACTCCCCTGCACAGGAAAAATCGGAAAGGAGAGGTTTTGCGGTAGATGGTGTTGATTTGTTGATACAGTTAACAGTTAAAATAATTTAAAGAGTATTCTGACGACTTGTTTGACGCGACGAATAATACTTGCTCAACAAATGGCCAGTATATGATTTTGACAGACGTTACTGTGTTTATTGCTAACATGGCAACTCATTGTACAATACAACAGGTCTGTACCTCCAGTGTGTCTTATTTCGCTTCTTGCCTTAGGGGTCACCACAGGGGAAACATCTGCCGACATTTTACTTCTCCCTGGCCTCTTCCACTATTAGTTAGAGTGACCATTTGTATGCCCCTCTCCCCAATGTCCATTGATTTTCTCTGTGGCCCTTTCCCAGGTTCCTGGATGCCCCATCTGTAACATCCTTTGTCCAACAGACCAACGATCTCCACTCAGCAGAAAGTCCAACCTTGCCTTTGTAGCTTATTCTCCAAACTGCTCAAATATGTCTGTTCAGTTACAGCAAACACATCTAATGTTGGGAGTTTGAGTTTGAGCAAACTCCTCCAGAAATGTCGTAATGGTTTAAACTCATTAACCGAGCTCAGTAAAACAGGTTTTAGAACCATGCTATCATCCTGCTATTATGTCTAGAATACAATTACAATGCAAATGAAACATACATTGCTTATTGATTCATACGATAACTTGAAATAATAATTTTCTGAAGTTCTGAAATTAACAATGTTTTCAATATGAAAAGCCACAGTGGTGGCTTAAAAAGATAAAGGCTCCCAGTGTTGTCATTGCTTTCGTAGTCTTGGCATCATTAAAGGCAAGAGTAAACACAACAGCTGCTCGGTGCACAGAATGCTCTTTAATTAAGGTATAGTATTTAAGTCATGTGTTTAAAATAAATTATTCAAGAAGAAACTACTTTGTCTGATGACCTGTGTTCATTTTTATTTTGGTGTTTTGTGTCTTTAACTGTGTCTCCATCGCATACTTCAGGGTTGTTTGGACAGTTTTTCATCAGCCACTCAGCCAACCAGACCTGGTGTTAACACAGGAGCACAAAATGATAAAAACACGAGAAATTATTTTTATATAAACACTTATTTACTATTTATTTACTAAATACTTACACAGGGGTTTTCTGGCTTATGCTTGCACAGCTCAGTGAGTCCACGAAGCAGAGTTGGATTCACATATTTGCTCAGGTATTCATCAGTTGATTCTTTGGAAAAACTGGGCTCGATAACAGCTGCAGGGAGCAACAAGTGTCTTTATCCAAAATTCAATAGGATTTATGTACAATGAGATGTGTTATACCTACAGTTAGGAAACATGAATTTAATCTCCCTCTCAGCTGCATAAAGTGACTCACTGCCATGCAGCGCGTTTTTTAGATCAGACGTTCCGTACTTGGCTCTGAGGCTGAAGAAAAAAAAACAAGTCCATTTCTATTATAATATAATTTGAGAAGTATGCTTTTGGTGTAGAAAATTATTAGTGCAAAATCAATAAAGCAGATAATGACAATAACTCTATAATAATAAATTGTTATGAATAAAAAAACCAACCATTCTGGATAGATTTCTCTTGCTTTTGTAATGCTGACAGGCCCCATAAGAGACTTCCAGTGGGCCACAGCATTGTAGCAGCCTAGAGTCATGGCAATGATAGGGCCAGAGCTCATGAAGGCAGTCAGGTTGGGGAAGAAGGTCTTTCCATACTGGTCTGCATAAAAATCACTGCACTGTTCTGGGCTCAGCTGTACCTTCCGTTTCTGTTGAATGGAAATGGAATTATTTCGTTTTTGGCAGTACAGATAATAAGAATAAAATTAAATAATACAACTACAATAGAATTTCTTAGCTAACTTTTAGTCATCGCAGCTAGAGTTATACTTTCAATGTTATGATTCTTTTTCTTGGTCTGTTGAAAACTGCTAGAGTTATACTTTCAATGTTATGGTGATTCTTTTTCTTGGTCTGTTGAAAACCCACCGACTCAACTTTGATTAAACTACAAATAAACAATGAAGGGTCACATCATCGTATATACTGCACGAGGTTACACACAGTTTACTTGTATGCCGATAATCGATAAACGCTAAGTATTACAGAGGATGTTTCAAATTTATTCGAACAGTATGAGTGTTGTCAGCGCTCTCCTGTGGACAAACTATGTCATGCTCAGTCTTTTTATGAACTTATGAAAAAACAAACATTAAAAGAACTTGGCAACAAATTGATTACAATCATTCACCGATGATATTCTTCCTGAACTAAAATATAAAACGCACCTGCAGAACAGTGAACCCAGACCTGAAGATAACGTCCTCAATCTCTTCGCTTTTGTGGACGGCATCAGGTTTGATGATAGCCAAGGTTCTCTCCACAAAAATTCGATGCGGATTTGAACCGTCGTCCATTTTTCTCCCAGCACAACTCACACAATTATATAAAATAAGCACGCCTGAATGAGTTACTGTTGATAATTTGAACCGTACTACAGCTTTATATCGGTTTACACACACATACACGACTTCAACACGTTGTGTCGTTGTGCGTGGTTGCCATGTTACCAGCCTCAGTATACGGAGAGCCGAAGACGACAATTTTCACACTGCCGTTCACTTCTTTACCATGCATTTACACTATGCACACACTGCTTGGTCCACATGTTCTCTTGTTCAGGTCTCTTACAAAAGCACAATTGTAACCCAGTACTAAAAATACAATGAAATTCAATGTTTTAACTACACAGTAGTGCAATCAGTGATTATTTCAAAGACATACACACACACAACAATAGATTCATGTGTAAAGTAGAGCTGAAACATACCAGGATCATATCACTTTAAATGTTGATTTTTGTTGATGTGAGTTTTGTTTTAATTCCATGGTACAAACCTTTTCCAATTTTGCTCCAACTTTCAACAACAGTTAAAAAACACAGGGCACATTCTTTGTCAAACAGTCTTTTATTTAAATCTTCAACTTAAAGTTCTTATCGAGTTCCAATGGTGACCTGCCACACTCTGATCAAGTTGTCAGTGTAGCCAGCAAACAGAGTCTGGGAAAAAAACAAAAACAAAAAGTTTAACAGACTTATCGAATTATATCCAGGTTTAATCCTGGAGTTCATTCAGAATCTTTAGTTCCCCTCATATTTGCAGGACTGTCAGCAGTGGTTATCAGAGATAAAAGTGAATGGGTATAATCACCAGGGAAAAAAACAACACTAATGCAGTCAAATATACAACATTCTACAGAACAGTATTTTACCTGTCCATCAGCAGACCACGCCAGGGACGTGCACTGTGGAGGCTCAGCTTTGCTGTTTGTGCTGATCACTTCCTGTCTCAGCTCATCTACAATAATCTTGCCCTCCAGATCCTACAGGGGGACAACAAAGGCAATCAGTAACTATAAAGGAGGGGTCAGGGGTGCGGGAGAGAACTCCAGAGGAAACAAAAATCTATTTAATTATGGAGTCGTTCATTTTAATCCAATGGAGCTCAGAAACAGCCTCTTTATCATCAAGGAATACAGTTGGCGTTGAGTTTCATCACCGCTCTTAAAGGCATGCATGTGCTGTTCAACCATTTTTATGTTCAGGTCTCTTACCCAGATTTTGATGCTGGGGCCAGTGGCAGCACACAGCCAGTAGCGGTTAGGGCTGAAGCAGAGGGCATTGATGATATCACCACTGTCCAGGGTGTACAGGTGCTTGCCCTCATTCAGGTCCCACAGCATAGCCTGGCCATCCTGTAGGAGAAAAAAAAAAACACTAATTTAGATCATAAAATATTTTTATGTGAAAAGCCTGACCATTTATGTAACCCCCCAAAAGTAACTGATCCCTGTTAAGTTCTAATGAATTGTGAAAATGAGCATTTCACTATACCTTTCCACCAGATGCACACAGAGAGCCGTCAGGGGAGACGGTCACCGTGTTCAGGAAGCCAGTGTGACCAATGTGGTTGGTCTTCAGCTTGCAGTTAGCCAGGTTCCACACCTGAATGAAGAAACAACGTAAGTAACATAAACAAAAACGTAAAGCAACTGTACAACAGTACACGGGTTGGGCCCTCATTAATTCAAATCCTTTCATCAAGGGTCAGGTAATACATGCCAAATATTTTTAATCACAGGGCAAACCAATCACATAGGGGTTCTCTTACATACAAAAAACAGAGGTGGAATTTTAAAAAAAAAAAAGAAAAAAGTTTACCTTGACCATCTTGTCCCAGCCACAGGAGACAATAATGGGGTTGTTGCTGTTGGGGGAGAAGCGGACACAGGACACCCACTCGGTGTGGCTCTCATCCTGTGAGATGAAGGTGAAATGTAGACGTTTTGCAATTGATTCAACTTTTACCATCACTACACATCACAAAAGGTGGAGTTTGTGACACTTTACCTGGATGGTGTATTTGCAGACTCCAAGAGTGTTCCACAGCTTGACGGTCTTGTCCCGAGAGCCGGACACAATCTGGCGGTTATCGGCAGAGAAGGCCACACTCAGGACATCCTTGGTATGTCCAACAAATCGGCGAGTGGTGGCACCACTGCACAGAGATAACATGTTGACTTGCATATTTTAAAATACAACTTTTCAGTTTTTATGGTGGTGGGATTATTACAGAACTTAAGAATTAGTGACCACAGCTAAATAAAATCTTAGGTTTATTTTAATCTCCCACATATGCGACTCCTCAACAAGAATATGTCACATCAACACTGACTCTAACAGCACATATCCATAAGTCCTTAAGACACTTACTTGGTCAGATCCCACAGGCGCAGGGTACCGTCCCAGGATCCAGACAGTGCAAACTGTCCATCTGAAGAGATGACAACATCACTTACAAAGTGAGAGTGGCCCTTCAGGGAGCGCTGGGGGATGCCATAGTTGGTCTCATCACGGGTCAGCTTCCACATGATGATAGACTTGTCTGAAAACCAAAAAGCAGATATTATAAATTTCAACTGGACTGTCCTTTATTTGAGCACTTCAGGTGTAAAAATAAAATAAAAAAATCCCCCAAGACACATGCATCCATGTTTGGAAAAGCTATATGAAGCACAAACTGTGCAGACAATATAAATGAAGGTGGAAAATATTCTAGAAGGAAAAGCAGCAACAGATTGGATCACTTAAGTTTGCCAATAGACCCTAAAACAGTTTGAGAGAATTCAAGTGAATGTTACCAAAAGTTTACAACAATTACATCTAGGCCTGTAAATGACAGGTCCATGGACGGGATTAAGTAAATGTAGATGGCCAACTCAATTGTATGACATGATCGTCTTCCTGTACGTAAAGTGAGTTTCTCAACTGAAGTTCGTATGTTTACATACGCGTTTCAATTCGGTATAAACGCATCTACTATAGTAGAAAGTACTTCAATTAGAACAAATTTCTTATCAGGACTAATTGCTTTGTTATAAGCTACACGTCATTAGCAGACAGTTCCACAACACTGATACCGTTAGCTATCAAAGCTAGCCGGTGCCTTGCCGTGGCCGAGCAATTTCGATACAACGTAACACCTTTAATATAGCAAAAAGTAGTTGTAATTCTGCTTTTATCACACACAGCCTATGAATAACGTGCCCCAAAGTTTCTAGAGCCTTACGTTATATCTGCAAACTAGCTAGCTCCAGCAGAGCCATGTTGGCGGAGCCGGGGGCAGGAAGCCTCACCTCGGGACGCCGACAGAATCATGTCGGGATACTGGGGCGTCGTGGCGATCTGGGTGACCCATCCACTGTGACCCTTCAGGGTCCCCCTTACTGTCATCTGCTCGGTCATTTTGGCGTGGTTCGGTGGTGCCTTTCTCAAGGATGGATTCGGATATTTTAGAGGTCCGGTAAAACCTAAGTCCTCATCGCAACCAGGCACAGAGGAAAAGGAAGTTCACACCCGGATGCAATAGCTATGAAGAGGTGAACGTGCCGCAGAGAATTCTGGGAAATGTAGCTTTGATTCTATATAGAGTAGTGTAATCATTCGTTCTGCAGAAATTATGGCTTTATTCTTTTTTTAAAAACATACATTTAAATGGATTTTCTTCTCATATAGGTTTATATCTTGGAATTGCCAGATAACTAAAAGCCTATTTAAAAACAAAAGCTAAAACGACGTTTACAAACAAATATCTCATCATTCTGCTGTGGGTAGTGCTATAATCAAATTTTCTCATTTTTAAGACATAAAGATGTTCTTTAACACAGTAGCAAAGACCCCCACCCCACCACCACAATCAATTAATTTAAAAATGAAATATTCAATGAAAATATAAATTTTCAAATCGTTAAAACACTTAAGACCAAAATTATTTCAAGACAACATTAAATAGTAAAAGGTGTAGTGGTTGATGTACATTAAGTAGCCATTTCTGTTTTAATAGTCTTCATAGTTTGAGGAAAAATAAATAATTTAGTCGTGTATCTAAAACACATGCAAGGAAGCAATACATTTGGGACTGTCTTGTCATTAAAAAAACCCCAAAGCCCTGATAAATATTTTCCCCCTAACGTACAACTCATCATGTATAAAAATTTACAGCCAGATCTAGCATACTATAAAGTAGTCATGTAAAAAGGGAAATACCATATATATTAAAATAGCCATAGTATTTATATACTCCTGATAGCAGTAAATTTCTGGTTCAAATAAGGTTTAGATGCATGTAATTCACAACAGATTCATAAATTCAGTTATAGTAAAAGTGGAACTAATTTCACGGTCCCAAACACTAAATGTACAAGGCGCAAATGTAGAACAGTAAAAATGTATAAATTAGCAATTATATTAAATTTAACACAGGCATTTTACAGCTGCCGTAAACAACAGAGGCAGATGTTTTATATTGTGTTTCTTCTCTTCACCACATGGATCAACTGCAACCAATTGTCGATAACTCATTTAGGCTTGGAACCAATGAGGTCATTTATCCGTAAGCAGACATATGAGATTGATTTGGGAGAATGTTTGATAACATTATCAAATCAGGAGCACACTGATGCAGCGTAATGGCTAACACACTAGCTCCAGATCCGTCACTGTGCAGAGACTGCGCAGCTGTTCTGTCCACTGCTAAATACAGGTAGGCAACAAATAGTATTTTCTGATTCATTGTAATTTATTCTGATTAATCATTAGCCCACAGCTTACTTCTCATACAAAAATCTAATTTTTTTGACAACCCCAGTTGAAACATCTCCCATACAGTCTATACAAATGTGTGGTGAATGTAGAAACTAAATTAAATTAATTAAAAGAATCCAAATAACACTTAGTTTACATTACATATGTTTTAATGGACAAGAAACCAAAAAACAAAAACAGAGTTTAGTTGAACACATTTCAAGTTATACATATTTGACAAGTAATTACAAAAATAGCTTAATTCTCTTACAACCAACAACACAACCGAAAGACATTCTCATGAAGTCAACACTAATACTGTCAAAACGTGGTTTGCCAAAACACCAAAGTGTACTCAGATGTTTTGTCATTTATTGACCTCATCACACTTTTAAAACCTCAGCTGATAGAATCTGCAAAAAGAAATAAACACAAGTGACAGATAACCATCAGTTCCCAGTGAAATCAGAACCATTCCGCTTTAAAAAAAAGTCTCACTCATCACTTTCACAATTTTTTTTGTCACTTACTCTGACTTACTGTCATTTGTTAATGACTAGCAACTAATTCAATTACTTTAAAAAAACCCAAAACACCTAGACTACAACTTGAACATTGTTTTAGTGAAGTTTTTAAACTAAGTTTAAAAGACAAACTTACCAATAAATCATGTTTTTTTATTCAGATTTGAGCAGACATTGTTATCCTTCCACCACAAGTTTACTTAATGTAAACCTAAAAAGTAAATTCCAGTTTTAGTATTTTTACGGACCACTTAAACCACACAAATTAACTGTGACTTCAGTTCAACATTACTGTACTGTGACAAAGGAGTTCTTCCAACAAATAAATGGCAATGTAGCACAGTCGTCACTTTAGAACACTTTAGAATTCATACAAAGATAACCAGTATGAAAATACACTTTCCTTATATAAAGTATATGCATGTGTTTGCCAACAGAACAAAAACAAAAACGGTATTTCAAACATTGTAGCCGGTTATTTTAAAAAAAGCATTAATGTTACATTCAGGTGATAAAAGTACATTGTTCTGTTTTTCGTGCATCACTTTTCTCCTCTGGATATAACAATTATCCATGTGTCAGTATTCATGTGATTCCGTTTGTCAAACATTGTTACAACATCTGTGAAGAAACCAAAAACAAACAACAATTTATACATGGTTTTGTATAAATCAGGGCCCTTAAAATGTGTCCATTAGCTGGGATTTAAAGGTGCACTCTGTAAAATGTGGGTACATTTTATTGTCAGATGTACTAAAATTGAATAGTGAATAATTTGGATGATTATTTATGAATATAAATGTATAAAAAGTCACTGTAGAATGAGTTATCTTTTTAAAATGGTCGCGCTCTGGAGATTTTCACATTTGCCTGAAATAACTAAATAACTCACATTATTCAAATGCAGTAAAGTCCACAAAATATCTCCAACTGTAAATGAACATAATTATTAAGATCACTATTTGACCATGTGTATCCCTTTAAGGTGTACCTTTAACTAATAAGGGCCTACTGTATACCATCTGTTGACAGGTTTTTTTTAAAAACAAAAAAGTACCTATGAGAATTGCAACAAAATACCGACATTTATAACCAGGGTCTACTCCTGTATCTGTAAAATAAAAACCATAAAAACCCAACAACAGTTGTCATACTTCTCTCTGTCAGTCCTTCAATCCAAATGTTTAATATCAGATAAAAAAAATCAACCATAAAACACACATTTAAGTCAGCAGCAACAAATACGAAGTAGAAACTGGCAATAGAAATCAAACACGACTCCACCTGTGATTGTAAAATAACGTTAAGCCACGCTGGAACATTTTAGTAAGATAGTTTGATCTTCAGTCGGTTGTTAAGGTATCTGAAACAGAAACAGATCGGAGCTGATTGGCTCCCTGGTTGCAACACTGATTTAATAAAAATACTGTGACTGGTTCCTTCAAACCCGGCCATGAATTTTTACTAAGTTAAAAATGTTGATTCACAGGAATGCAAAAATGTAACATCACAAATTTAAAGATTACACCAAAGTCAAATAAAATGACAAGCATGCCACCACTACCAGAAGTGTGAGCCATAAAAATAAAATAAAAAGATCGGCGTTCTGTGAGTGGCTCGTTCAAATGGAAAGACTATTAAAGAGAGTTTAATGCAAATAAAAAGATAAAGAAATTCGATGCATCTCTCAGGGGGCAACATAACCAAAAAAACTCCCAGAATGCTTAGCAAAACCGCGCCACGTAATGATAATGCATTTAACCGCAAGTGGAAACCACAACATGTTGAACATCACTGTGCAGTAAATTCTTCCTTATGTGCCTGTGACATCACTGTAACACCAGTCAGTTCATGTGTGTGTTTTCTCTTCCCAGGTGAAAGTGGAATCGCAGCGTTCCCTGTCGCCCTCTCCTGGAGAGTTTTCATACGGGAGAATCTGAGTGTTCACTTCAACACAGAGCTCTTCTGCCTCACCAAGGCCGAACCGTCAATCCTGCTCTCTGCTCATCAACGTGTCCTTTCCTCACCAGGCCCCGCACGCCCTTCAGGGCTGAGACAGACGTTTGCGTATGAGCTTCTGCCTGGCCATATCCTCCTTTCGAGAAAACACAGAGAGGAGAAGAGAGTACAGATCCACACTCCTCCATGTGCCAACAGATCTGTCCATCCATCCTCAAAATTTGAGCGAGTGCACACACCACCGCTCCCATTATTACTATCAGGCAGCAAATCAGGTTTTGTTAGTAAGGCACTCTTCAATCCAACACGGTCACGTGGACAGTCCCAGAGTCCCACCGCGAGTTCAGTCTCTTCAAACACAGCTGCATTCTCTACAACACTGAATCTCTAGTTTTAAAAAGAATTATAATACTGTATAATCACAATGTCCCTGTTAAAAAAATCAATATATTATATAAATGTTTTTTTTGGTAGAAAATGGGAGTGGAAGGGGTGAGGAAAGGGAGGCACTGGGATGTTGGTTGTAGTTTTCACTTGCAATATATACCAGATCAATATGTACAGATTTGATGCTGCTGGTTAGTCATCACTGCAAAATAAAGAAAAAAAGAAGCACAGATTTATTAGACATGCATTGAAACAAACAAAAACAAAACCAACAAACAAAGAATCAAAAGACAAATCTAAAATGCACAGAAAACGGTAAACAAACACTAAAATGTGAGAAACAAAACTTCAAATCTGTAGCTTGATAATTAAGTCAAGCGTTTTTCAACAGGCAAAAGGACAGAGAAAAGATTTCTCATTCTTAATAACATTCCATTGGTTAAAAATAAATTTATAGATTAAAATGTATATAGATTTAAACTCATACTTGAAAAACAACCATGAAAAGTTGGGAACAGTAACAGAAAAGCTAATGTAATATGTTATTAATTTATATTATCATTATACTTCTGCCTTTTCCCTGCATTGCCTACATTTCCCCAATAGATGGCGTAGAAAGCAGTAGCATAGAAACGTGTCACTGAAACACTGAAAGACTTTCCCTTGTCCTTTGGCCTGATCGATGAATGGTCAAGTACACATTTCTACTGCCATCTCAGAAAGTGTGCCAACCTTTCAGGGTTCATTCAAACGTCGACCAAACATGTTTTTTTGTTGCTCATGCTTCACAATGACTCAACTCACGCTGTAATATACTCACAAAATGTCCCTGTGTCAAAGAGCAAGTGAGGAGTTTCATTTAGACAATACATTTAATCATTTAAATGTATGTTTGTACTATTTTACTCTCTGTGTATCTCGGTGGTTCTCAAAGTAGGGGGCGGGTCCTCCTTTGGGATCACACGCAGGTATTATGATAATTTCAATATTTATATATGTCCCACAGTGGGAACATATATGTGTGTGTGTGTGTGTTTCGTAGACACACAGTTTTCTCCTGAGCTCAGTGGGTTATGTGCATGTGCCCCCTATTTTGCCCCAACATCCCAAATCTAATTACGGTGGTACTTTAAATTTTTTTTAAATAAATGTTTTACTTTAACTCTCAGCCCTCACCTTGTGCCAGCAGCCTGGTATCGGCAAACCGTCTGGTCCCTGCATTAAAGAGGGAAAAACATTGTGTTCACTTACACAGCATTCTGCAGGAGGCTGATTTAAATACACTGGGTAACTATAATAACATGCACTCTTTTTTTATACATGTTGTCATTAATTAAATGAGAAAAAATGTAAAACAAGATTTAAAAACAAATAAACTGAAAATACAGATGAAGTTTAATTTTATTACTAAAAACACATGTACAGTTTAAAAGAAACAAAACCAAAGAACAAATAAAATGAAAGAGAGAGAATTAGTTTAGCTCAAGGAGAGAAGCAGCAGGAGGACAGAGGCAGAGATACTGTACCAGTGGACAGGGGGCCTTGGGGCCGGAAGGAGGAAGAGGAGGAGGAGGAGGAGCTGGAGAAGCTAACACAGCAGAAAGACCTTTAGTCTGGTCACAGCCCTGTCAGCAAGAGCCAAGTCACACATTCACAGCATAAGAGGAAGAAACTCAGGAGGAAACGTGGGGAAATGTACGAAAGGCTCGGAGAGTAGACAGCAGGCCAAGGGGGAAGAACAACAAAGTGTTAAATGATCGTGAACGACGTACCACAGGGCAAGGCTGGTCCAAGCCTGGAGGACCCTGCTCCCCCTTGTGGCCCTTGGGACCCCTCTTCCCAACAGATCCCCTGTCACCCTGGACATTCAGTAGAGAACGGTTAGTTATACATGGAGGGTAAATATTATTCAACCATTAATGATTGTGCAAATTCAATCTCCCAGTGCCTTCATTCTGCCCACGTGTTAAAATGTTCTGATTAATCTGATTATATTCACAAATGTTAACACGACAGCCTGGACAGTTTCATCAGACTAGGTCACATGTCTCCAACACCAACCTTCTCTCCTCGTTCTCCTCGTTCCCCTTTATCTCCCATCATTCCAGGGAAACCCTGGATATGCAGAATAAAATTCATGAGTCAGGGAGTTGTTGTTTTCTTATTATGTAGATTGAAGTAAATGAAACTGTTATCATTAAAAAGAACTCACATCAAGTCCAGGCTCTCCTGGTCTCCCCTGCAGACACAGATTAACACTTTAGTTAGGTATTTATTTAGACATAAAAAAGACACATAAACACATTTATAGATGATGATGATGATCTCCTTACTTTTTCTCCCTTTGCACCTGGCAGACCCACCAACCCCTGAGACCCAGTTATACCCTGCTGGCCGTCTAGGCCCTGCACATAGATACACGTTGTTGTCAGTGTTAGCCCATTTTGTGTTTGATGGAAGAGTGAAAATAAACACCGACTGTCACTTACTCTGGGTCCAGATGGACCAGGCTCTCCCCTTTCTCCCTTCATGCCAACTCCAGGCTCTCCCTGAAATATAATAAAGACACAATAGTTTTTAAACTATTGTCAACATCCAGCAGGTTATTACAAACACAATAAATCTGTAGTCTCACCTTAGGACCAGGCATTCCATGAAGACCCTGGAAAATATTCAGATGTTAGCGCTTGACGACCAAAGGTGTCACTGTTAAATTTTCAGATGGAAGCTAACACACAGTGGTGCTTACCATAGAGCCAGGAGATCCAGGCATTCCAGGTGGTCCAGGTGGACCAGGTAGACCTGGTTGGGAAATCATCTGAACCTGAAGACAGACGAAATGAAAGAAGTCAGTCTTACATTGATAAAACTGAGCTAAAGTACGACAGAGATAAATATAAAATAACTAAATAAAACAAAAAGAATAGTGAAAATAATTAAGTAAACACCCAAATAAAATAAAATAAAATGCTGTATTTATCCACCATTCTTATCTGTACTTTATAAACCATCAAACCATTTAACCTCCACATTTCCAGGTTAGATTTCCTGTTTAGAGCAGATTTTCTTTTGTTTCTTGGTTTTTGTTTACCCTGGTCTGGTCTCTGAATAAAGTAAACCTAAACATAAAGAAAAACCCTCTTTGTTTTGCCTTTGTTTTCTGTTCTGCCTAAGTAGATAAAATGATCATTATCCATTCACTCTAGCTCTAATTTATGGCAGAAACACCAGTGCTCTTCAGATGTGTTCACTCATGTGTGAAAGACGAATGGACCGCACTAACACTATCCGTGATGAATGATTACAAGTGTAACACTTTCCACCTGTGGCACAGACATCGTGTGTCAGCTCTTATTTCTCTGACGGTAACATTAATAACTGTGTACATTGTGTAGACTTCGAGCAGTGTTAACTGACAGTAGAGGTTATCTCATACGTATTTTTTAAGTTAAAATATATTTTTTTATCTTTTCAGCATCTTCAATTCTGTGTAGAGAGAGAGACGTTAGCACGAGTGCTTTTACAGATACTTGTCATACAGTATATCATTCTAGAGTTAGGGTTTTACTTTTTTGGGACAACATAAATAGAAGTGGGTCATTATGAATAAATAAAAAACACAGCTGGAAAACAAACATAACAACAAACAGAACCTAGAGTACAGTACAAGGCATTGGCAATGCTGCCTGCTTCCTAACGAGCATGGATTTTGAAGAGAAACAGAAGTATGTAAATCAGGGGTGTCAAACATAAGGCCCACGGACCAAAACCGGCCCGCTGTGGAGTTCAATCCGGCCCACTTGATGAATTTTTAAAGTTAAAAACTGCACTTCATGTTCATCATGTTTTGTAAAATTATATTTCATATTTATATACAACATATTTTCTAATGCAGTTGTATTAATTTGCAAGAAAACAAGGGCAGGGGGGCACAGGTGTATTGTTATTTACAGGTAATTAATTTATGACTGTACTGGTTTGACTAATCCAGCTGTATATGGGCCCTGAACCAAAATGACTTTGACACCCCTGATGTAAATACTTGGCGTTGCGTGGTTCTACTGACCAGGTTGTCGTCCAGTCGACAGTCTCCTTTCTCTCCTTTATGTCCGTCCACACCCTGGCCAGAAAAAAAAACGAGATAATGTTCAGCTGTTTAAATACTTTTTTACACTTAAAAAAAAATCCTGTCGACTGAGTTACTAACAGCAGGTCCAGACAGCCCCATCTCTCCCTTCTCCCCTCTCTCTCCTGGTGGTCCTGTCTCACCGTAGTCACCTTTAGGACCCTGGAGGAGAAGAAGCCAGACTTAATCCTATTTTAAGGAACAGCAGAGTCCCGAAAAGCCTTGAATTGGTTCTAAATAACATAGTTGACCACAAACTGCTTAAATAATTGACTGGAATGAATCAATTACTCTCACAGCGGTTTGTGGCATTCATACCTTTTCCCCATCCACTCCAGCTGGACCAGGTAAACCAAGCTCACCCTGGAAGAACAGAAAGATTGACTCCATTGATAAATATGTACGTCAGGCGTTTGAAAGAGTCTGTGTTTTTCATTTGGAAAACTCTTTGAACTCCAGTCTTCTGGCCAGAGAGAGCCTTACCTTCTCCCCTGGAGGGCCCGGGAGCCCAGGTGGTCCAGGCGGGCCCTAGGTACCAGGACAGAAATTCAATTACAAAGATGAACTTAATAATTTTGGCATTAAACTCTGCAGCAATAATTCAACCTGTCAAAGTACAGTTGGTCCAGGGCGGCTGTGGGAACACAACGCTGACATGTCATCACCTTGAATTGATGCTGCTGATTTCAGCAACATCTCTCCAAATGTGTGTCATGTGGTTCTGGGCAGGTAGCTTTTGTTCTGAAAACCGTTGCCCGTTGTGTCAACACACGGTTGACGAAAACTACAACAAGACCGGGATCAAACGGCAACGCTGCGGTTTGGAAAACAAACACAGAGACCTGACAGCAGCTATAAGACTCAGATGAGCTGAGGGCAACTGCACCGTTAGTCAGGAGTTTCTGTGGGTTCCTCATTTGGAGCCAAGCCCTTTCACATTCAAGTATTCAAATGATTCATTGTCTTTTACCAAATACAGATTACAGTCTGTCATTTTCAGGACAATCACAACATATATACAGCATGTAAGTGTTTACAGAGACGGGGAACTCACAGGCGTTTACCATAAGACCTGAAATGGAGCCAAGACACACACAAAAAAAATACAAGACTGATGGGTTTTCACGGCACGGGCCTGACAGTAAATCAAACTCATGACGTCCTTTGTTTTGTTTGACTTCTTCAGTTTGCTGATGGCGACCAACTTGAAGCAATTTTATCTAACTGAGATTGGAAAATGGTGCTGGATGTAATCTCTGCTACACAATGGCCTGGCACCATTTTCCATTCAGTCGATGAAGGACGAGTCGGACAAAAGGGAGAAGAAACGAAACAGTCGTACGACTTTATGACGCACCAAAACTGGATGAAGAATATCATGCCGTCCGCCACGCTCTTAAATCAAACTCTTTATCTGCGCATCCACAATGCTACAGCTCTTCCCTCTGAAAGTCTGAAGGCCATCTTGAACTAATAAAAGGAGAAGCTGTGGTGTCTCCCTGAGGTGTTCGTGCTGATTCACTCTCTGCCTCTCTCTCTCTCTTTCTCTCTCTCTCTCTCTCTCTCCACAACAAAACTGCAGAAACGTGTTTACAAAACAGCCACTTCATCTGAAACGTTCTATCATTCGAAAGTCAGGCCGTGCAAATAATGATGGCGAAAGCCGTGAAAAGAATGATTGTGGTAAATAATCAATCCTTAGCAAGGCCCAGATTTTTACCATCACTTTGAATATCCACACAGATGAAACCAATACAGCGTTCCCACACAAACACTGAAGTGAAGCACGCTCTGGGTGGTCGTTAAACTTTCAGCATTCTACTGATGTAACAGGGATCCCGTGTGTGATTTGAGGCCGAACGACCCGTGATGGCAAGCGGCCTGTGATAAAATCTCAGGTTTATGTTCTCGCCCGACTCCTTTGCAACTATCTCACGCTGCTATCTGCAGCCTTGCATGCAGGCGTCTATTTCACATAAAGGTCCACAGGGAACAGGTTCATAGTAGCTTTTAATCAAATACACACACCACTGCAGAGATTGCTATCTGTTAGCATGCAGCAGGGTCCATGGCAGAATCCGACGGGTCCCGTGTCTGAAGAAAAATGACTGTGAAACTGAGACTGTAGCAACTGTGAGCACTTCCTGTTTGGGTTCTTGCCCCTCATGTGCAACACCTGACTAACGTGAAAGAGCAAAAACGCATAGACGAACTACTCCACGCCGACCTACGGCGACTGACGGCCATGTATCTTCTACAAGGTGCGCTGGGAGCATGCACACAACAAAGCAGCCGAGCTGCCGGACTTCTCTGCATGATTAAACGTCCTTCTCTGTTTTATCTGATGGAAGACAGCAGCTGTACCATATTTGCCGGGTCCGTACGTTTTGTCCAAAATGAGTATGCCTGACTGTGGTAGACTAGTAAGCCAGGCACATTCAGTCACACTCTTCAGATGTGGTCTCCACAGACATATCTAAAACACGTGAATAATAAAAAAACACACACAGAGCCACGGGCTGAGGCAGGTGGGATGAGGAGCAGATTTACAGGAGTTATGAGCAAAAGGATTAATTCTTTGACATCAAATGTGTTAGTTGCTCATCACGCCACCAAAACCGTGCAGGAGCAACAACAGATTACCGAAACACTGATGGTGTTGATGGCCTGTCAGGAAAGAAAATGGCGGCACGTTGAGCTGTGCATTTGAAGTTGTCAGCTTCTTAACACGAGGTGCAGTAATAAACTACTGGCATTTCTTTAACACAACCATAAATCAGCTCACATTGACGTTTACTGTTACTCACCTGGAAAGCGTCCAGGAGTTTCCCATTGAAGTCAATGATGTCTGAAGAACCTGCTTCACCTTTTTCACCAGGATAACCCTGGATCAGAGAAGAAATACACACACACCGAAGGTAAAAAGGTATTTCTTACAAAAACATTTTTACCATTATTTAAATGTTTAAATAGTAATAATAAAAGTAATAATACTGTAGATTTATAAAGAAGTCCAAAAAGGAAGTTGTTGACAATTTCATATTGCTAAAGTACACAATTTGGCTCAGGAGCCACAGGTTGCAGATCCCTGGTTTTTGGATCAAAGAACAGTTGCATCAGTTTCCTGATGCAGAAATCATACACATTCGTATCAAGACGTCAACCTGTGATGTTGTTGCTGTTTGGCAAAACCACTAACAACTAACAAATGATTTTGGTGTTTTAAAAAAAACTGTTCTAACATGTGTTATTGTGAATGTGTCAAGTTCGGTGGGATTTTGTTGTTGTTGTTATTGGTGCCTGAGCTGAAAGGAAGTTATTGGACAGCAAACATACCATGGGTCCCTGTTGTCCCTGCAATCCAGCTTCACCTTTATCACCCTGTGTGTGACCGAATAAACATATGAGGTTTTATTTTATTGCCAATATAAATAATGTATATTTAATATTTAAATTTAGTTTGTAACCTACCTTTATCCCTGGAAGTCCATCCATGCCTCTTTCTCCCTTTTCTCCAAACCCAGGTTCGCCCTTTAAATTACACAGTCAACTTTTAAAATGATTGCAAAACAGGAAATTTAAAGATTGTCGGCAATGACTATGATTCATCTTCACCTTTGTCCCTGCAGGACCCTGTGGCCCTGGATAACCTGGCGTACCATCGTCTCCCTGTCAGTGAGTGAAAATGTTTGGTCATGACTGACATTAACAGCAGATAAAGTCAGTAAAGTACATATAAAATGATAAAGTTACCGGCTTTCCAGGTAATCCCTGTTGTCCCTGTGAATCAGACAAAAATTATGTTATTTTTTATTATGCAGGAATCAGGGATTAAGTACAAAGAAATAAACACGCATAGATTCAAATACTTTGTTTTAAACCAATCTTACCTCGGCGCCATCACGGCCTGGAAAACCCTGAGGAGGACAGAGGAGAATCATCGTTTCAAAGTTAATTTTGACCAAGATGTGAAATCTTAGTTATTACCACTAGGTGTCAGTGTTTGATGAAGAATTGCCAGTTAATTGCTGAGTCAGTCTGCGTTAGTAAAGGAAATATAAACGAGAATAAATAAAGAAAAAGAAATGCTACACAAACATTTGTGTGCAAAGCATTGTGGGTATATGTGAAAATGTTTATTTAGGGACACATTAGCAAAGGACATTATTAGAGGTAATATGGTGGTGGGTCTTATTAAACTCAAGGCTGGGCTCCATCAGATTAGATTAGATTAGATCATATCAGATTATTCTAGATTAGATTGGATTAGATTACATTACCATCATATCAGATTATTTTAGATTAGATTGGATTAGATTACATTACATCACATAAAATGATTTCAGACAGGATTAGACTAGAGTGAGGGGCTGGAGTGGACTAGATGAAACTAGACCAGACTGGATTTGACTGGATAAACCTAGATTAGATTTGACCCTATTTTAAAAAATAAAATAAAATTTTGATTTAATTAGATTAGAAACCGGTTTTTGATACTTTCTACCTGGCAAAACCTCTGGGAATATCTTTCTCTGCTCCAGTAAAAAACACCTGTTGGGTTAGCTAAAACCATGTACACTTCCTTCCTTCCTTCCTTCCTGTCTTGTACATGTTCCTTTCTTTAATTTACCGTGTGCTCACACACCACTCACATTTCCCACTCTGGCTGATGTGTAACATCCATCACAACGGTTTGGTTCAGCGTTTCATCAAAGTGAAAGTGTAGCCGTCGTTCTTCCGCCCCTTTCCTTCACTTCACATATACAACGTGAAGGGTTCACGGACGTCCAGGCCGGCTGTGAAGCTGCGTGTCTCCTCTTTAGCCGTTCCTACTTTTACTGTAGACATCTGTCCACAACATGCAGCAGCTTTCAGCAGTTTTGCTGTTTTGGCTTTTGCAATGCTTTTAATCATCTCGAACAGTACATGTGAAATGGACTCTGTTACACGACAGGGCTGCTCTTTTGTAAACTCTCTATTTTCTGTGTTTGTGCTGAACTGTGCTTTGCCCACTTTCTCACTCTCAGATCAACCACAAAGAAAAGCAACATTTGTTTCTTTCCCCCCACTTGAATCTCTTCTCCCTCGTGTGCCAGTTGAGGGCAACAAGGCCCTCGGTACTTCACTTGAGTAAACAAAAATGTGTCCTACGTCTCCTTCCCTCCTTCCATCCTTCAGCCACAGCTTCAAGCTGTCATTGCATACGAAGAATCCTTCGACGGGCAAAGATCATTTCCAAAAACGCGAAATTGCCTCTGGCAAGAAGCGCAGCTATTGTCTGGTGAGGTGGACAGGCTGGCCGTGGACTGGCCACACTGCCATATCTGTTTCAGGGGTGACTGCGACACGGTGGTGGAAGGGTGGGAGCAAAGGGGTGAATCTGAGGAGTCTGTGGCCGCTGTCTTACACAAAACAGATGGGGACAGGAGTGGCGTTGCTATTCTGGGAGTTTTTAGGTAAGCCACAGCTCGCTGGCAGACCCCAAAATATGAGAATATGGGTTTGGAGCAATTTACTGCAGAGAACCTTTCCCCATTTGATACATGTGAGAAATGCACAGTTCATGGTCTTAGAAATGCAGTTAGTGGTATGTTGAACCCTGCGGTTCAACCCAACCAGGTCACCACATTTGGAGCGACTCAGGTCATACTGAGAAACGCTGAATTTTCACTTTATACATTAGCATCAGGTATGCTAGGAGCTGTCAGGAGCCAATCTAAAAAGTCTAAAAAATGTTTTTTTTTTCATGTAAAATGATGACTTTGAGATCATTTTACATCTTTAATGAGACATATAAAACAAGAGGAATAAAACCCCTGTAATCTTTAAGGAGGGTAGGGAAAATAATGTGGTCACAGAAGTTCACACAAATGTAACGCAATACTTTGTTAACATAGCTCTGGTCTCGTTACAGCAACCTGGCATTTTTGGACTTTTCTTAGTGACAAAAATGGCTTCATTTCAGGCAGATTGTAAACATCACACCACAGAATTATGTTGGTTTCAAGTTTGAGCTCAGAGCTGTAAAACCTAAATTCTTTTCACTGATTTGCAGGTGTTGGATCTTTTGTCAAGAAGAAACATTAAGTTCCTCTTCACCCTGAGCTCTCCAGCAAACACCTCGTGGTTTTGTTGGTAAAATAGACAGGTATTATAAATCTCCTCTGCCCTGACACCAGCCCCAGATTCTGCTAAAGAAAAACAGTCCTGAGAATGATGCTGCCACCTTCATTACTCACTTTTGGAAATGTTTAGTGTTGCTTTTGTGTCAAATGTACATTTATGACTTTAACCTTGGTTTTATGAGGCCACAGCTCATTTGTCCAGAGACTCTTTTCCACCCCTACCTCCTTAGACCAATATCGAAGTACAGATTATAGATGATCTTTAACATCTGAATCAACCGATGACTCAGTTTCCTTCAGCGTCTGTATTTTTTCGCCGTAGGTCAAGTTTAGTTTTATTCTCGTCTTTGCATCAACTTTGGAAAAAAAAATCTAGGTCTTTGTGTGGCACAGCAACGCTGATTAATGATTACTTTTATTAAATCTTTTTTTAACTTAAACTGTGACAAAAACCTGTAGGTTGCAGGAAAATTCCATGGTATCTATACATTTCAATTTTTTTTTTTAATTAGAATGTAAACTGAAATGAATAAAGACTCTTACCTGCTCTCCACTAGGGCCACGGGGTCCATCTTTGCCCGTGTTTCCAGGGGGGCCGCGGGGACCAGGAGGGCCGGGGGGACCAGGAGGACCTGCAGGTCCAGCCTGACCCTGGTCACCCTTATGAAGAAAAAAAAAAAATACAAACAACATTAAATAAAAATGTAATTGTCTCTTGTCCTCCAAGTGGAGAACGTCACTGAGCGGAAAGAAGCTGCAGTGGATACAAATATTCAGCTGAGATGTTTCTAAATTTTTACGATCCACATAAAGGAAGTAAATATGTCGTAATAAAATGTACTCGCAATGTTGACTGAAACACTTAAAGTGCTTATAAATCTCACTCCTAGCTTAGCCGTAGCACTAGCTCCATGGCTGTAAGAGAGGGAAACTGTTCTAAACGATTCTAAATTAAGCAGACCTTTTGGGATATTTAACAAACATTTATACAGAAATGAATTTCAAAAACAAATGTCAGAAAAACTGCTCATAGCCTCTGTTCTGGTTAAGACGTTCAGTCGACGATTTAACTGTAGTAAATGTATTTGTTTTGATGAACGTAACGTTTTAAACGTTTTATGTTGAGCAAATTTACGGCCGCACTGTTATTTTACACATAAAACCATGCAGAACTCACAACGTGGGTTATGTTAGTACAATTGTCATCACACACATATCAAGTATTTTTCTCACATGTCCAAATTAAGGCTGCGGTCAACACTCGTCGTCACACATGCTCCAAGTATTTCCTCTGCTGTGAAATTTTACTGCCCATTAATTGTGTGTGAACATCCACAAGTGCGAAATGTTTTACAACCATTTAATCGTCTTTGCCCTAATTTAACGCCATAATATTCGACACTTGTTATGGGTGTTTATTTCCGCTGCACATCTGCGTTTCCATCATATATTAATATAAGACTTTGCTCCCTTACAGCATATATTAATATAAGACTTTGCTCCCTGTACTCGGAATAATTGTTTTTTGACCACTTGGGGGCAGCAGAAACCAACTACAGACACGATCCTGCGCTATTTCGACTTCATATAGAGAAAGTTTAACAAACAGAAGTCTTTTCAGGCTACATGTCTGTCCATGGTTTACGTCTGTCCCGGTCCATGTCCTTATTATAGTTCTGATTTTTGTTCTCCACCAACTCCTGGGGGAAATATCTGCTCTGACCAGACAGTTGCTCAGCTGTTATATTGTGCTGTTTTAGCTGTAAGGGTGTTTTTTTTCTTCTCCAAACCTTTACTACTAAAAACAGCCTGCTGTGCTGTAGTGAGAGTGAACCAACACTGTAAATTTCTGCTGACTGAAAATCAAAACAACGAGCCGAAAAAATGTCAAAAAGCCCAGCAGAAGTGAAGGGAACCACATGTTGTTGATAATCCACTGCTGCTCTGTCACTTTGGAGAAACCCGTCCGCACATATGGATTTCAAAACTGACAGTAAAGGGAGACTGTCAGGGGGAGAGTGTAATTGGCCAATAGCTGCAGTCGTCATCTGGCCGGTGGGACTGATGTTTAATCATGAAGTACAGCAGAGTCATGCAAATACACGGAACCTCACTCTGGGAATTAATAATTCAGAATAACCTCATCTGTTCAGGCAGAAGGCGCTCTTTCATCTTCGCGACTTATAATGTAACAAATGATGTGTCGCCTCGTATTAAAGAAGCTTTCATCACTGGATTTACATCTTAATTGGGGACATGTCTCTTTCGGGAGACTTCCACCGCAATGTTTATGCCAAACAGGAACCATTAACACACTTGAAGACTCTTTACCGCTGCCACAGATGGAGAACTGGTATTTTTTCTAAATCCATATGATGACAATTCATCTGCAGCCTCTCATCTCTGCTGATATGCCATACATTATGTTTTCATGGGCAGCAAGTCTATGTCACCGAGGTCCTACGGCAGACTGCAACATTTCCCTAGTATGGATCATTATGTTTAGCGAGGTCAGAGCTGAACATGACTGTAACCCGGGGAGATCAACTGTCCTGGTAATGAAAAGCACACTTTCATCCTAGAAGATGTTTTTGTGACTGGTGTAAAACCTTCATAAACAGTTTGACGCGGCCAGATGTGTTAACGCAGTTAAACAAGCAAACAAACACATGCACAGGAAAACAGAAGATCGAACATGAAGATGTTCAAGAGCGTTAGGGCAGGCATTTTTGAAAAGATTGAAAAGGAAAAAACATAAGGTTAAAATTAGGGATGTCCGATATTAACTTTTTGCCGATACAGATATTAACTCAATAATATTTCTTTGTTTATCTGTACAAACCACTGCCTGAGTTGCTGGCCCCAGCATTCTGGATACAATCCCCTGATTATTAAAAAATAAAAAAAAAGGTGCTGCAATGCTGCCATCTAGTGACTTTCACTTTAACATACAGCTGTTTATCCCCAAAACTATTTTTAGGGCACACATTGGCCAGAGAAACCCAGGCATTGCGGTATCGGGTCGGCCGATATTATCAGACATCCCTAGTTAAAATGCAAACACGACTCAGTTATCGTCTACCTTCAGAAAGCGTCTCTGAAAGCTGCTGGACTGCTCTCCGGTTATAAAGCCGTGGTCATAGCGAGGAAAGACCATCTGAGACAGATGGACAGAGCCAAAGAGGGAAGCACATGGAGTGTTGAAATACAAAAAAGGGAGAGAAAAGAGATAAACTAAGGTCAGATAAAAGACGTCAGACATCCACTCTGAAGTGAGAGTGTCCAGAAGTGAGGAGAAACAACTTCTGTGGGAAAAAAATACGGAGATTAGAGTGTTAGTGGACCGAGAGGCCAAGAAAAGCTGGAGAAGAAGATCCTCAGACTGCAGATAGATCAGCAGCCTGACAGAGAGCAGTGGCTGCTGGGAGAGGAAGATACAGAGGTGTCTGCTGGGAGGGACCAACCTTGACGGTGAGAATCTGATTACTGTGCAGATTTGAGTGTGTGTAGCTAGAAGGACCCTGAGGAGAGGAGCGACAAGGGAACAGGTGAATCTAATGCACACAATATGTCACTACAGATGGAATAACTCATCCAAAAAGAAAAGTTTCAGTGTCAAAAATATCAATACTATATATATATATATATACTAATGCTTAAAAACACATAAATATATATAAATATATAAATTACGCAATTTCTTTATGATGTATTAGAAGCAAATACACTGTACACCACAACTACTAATTCCGAACAATATTAAGGTTAAATAACATATAATGGAATATTATATATACCTATGTTCTGTATGTATTTTGTTTTTCCATAAAAGATATAAATAAAATAAACATTAAAAATCAAAGATTCAAGAGTGGCTTTCATAGACTGTGCATAGTAAAAAAAAAAAAGAAAAAAAAAAAGAAAGACGACGGAGAGTTTAATCCACAGCGTAGGAAGATATTTTGCAGAGCCATCTTCAATGTTTGGGCAACAATTCATGAATTTGATTAAGACATTTTCTAAAGTTCATTCAGAAAAACAAAACACTTTTGTCTCCTGTTCGTACGTTGACTGGGTGTGTTAGTATTCCGAACTCAGTCTTCCGATTCATCCTTCCTTTTGCCACTGACTCAAACACAGACAGCCCGGCTCTTTCCAGACGACAGACACTAAGTGCAGTGTTTATATCTGTGGAGCTGAACGGAGCAAAGAGCGTCTACTGGGCTGAGCCCCGAGCTTCTTCTCTGGATGAGTTCACTCCGAAAACAAATGGAAGGATGAGGATGGAGAGACGGGACACAGAGGAGATCTAAGTAGAAGGCAAGGGAGTGGGTGGAGGCAGAAGGGAGAGGAAGATGGAGGGATGCTAGCCTGCTCATGAGGTTTCCGTTAACAGGCTGCGGCGGACGCTGGATAACTGGGGTTTTTCCGACACCGCAAATATCTCCTCCTCCTCTCTTTGGCCTATGGTCTCCTCTCTGTCTACTGTCACAGTCACTAATTCACACCATTCTCACCATGGAGACCACATACATATTTGCTTCCTAAACATATCAAAAAACAATGGACTGTTTCACAGTGGGCTTCCACTCTAGACATTCAACCTCAGGGACTCTCTGACTGTCCTGGAGCTGCTCTAGAGGAGGAAAAGTGAGACTTGGCTCAGGATGAAACTCCCATCACAGCTTGTCTTTCAACAGAAAGTTTCCAGGAAACCCAAACAAGCACGCTACGTGTTTAATCGTATGAAGGCTGTGGGAAAAAAAGGTTAGCAGGGTTAGCCACGTGAACTTTTGTCTGTCCTGTAACATCTGATAATGTTTTGATGGTCCCCTTAACCTGTGTGTTGAATTTGCTGCTAATACAGATGCGCCCCAGCAGGGACACCGAATGTGATTAATTGACAGGAAGTCACAGGTCAACAGAGAATGGTGGGCACTTCCTGTTTTTACTGGAAATTGGCTGGGATAATGATACTAATTATAAAATTACATTTTGTTTGTACAGCACTTTGTAAAATACTCAAAGACAATTTGATTGATCTGCAAGGTCACACAGTATAGTCGAGCCATTCTTAACCACAAGGGCACGGCCCAAACCTGAGCTACCAGTGCCGCAAAAAGTTCTTTTTTTTTCACCTGAGGTCATTACAGTAAATTGTTTTCAATGTCACAATTTCTTTAACACGATTCCAAGACATTATCCTTAATTAAAAATTGAATAAATGTGTTGACCTATTGACCTTTGTTATGTGGCCAAAGGGTGGAAAAGTGATAAAAAGTCATGTTTTACAGCTACAATATTGCTTGTTTGATAACTGTTAACCATGTAAATTAAGTTAACTGGACTCTTAGGTCTACCCCGCCCTCGCCTGATATCTGCTGTGATTGGCTGCAGCCAGCTTTGTGACCCGAAAAAGGTTGAAGTGGCAGGAAACGACTGAATAAATGACATGTGTTAATAATCAGCCTGTTCTGACATGAACTGTACTTAAATTAAATTATGGAATAATCAGTGAACGAGGTCAGTCTCCTCATATGCTAACAAATATATTCCTGTATTGAAACAGTGAACAAATGAGTCAATTATTGTTCTCTACACTTCAAGGAAAAAGTTTCCTGACCTGTGGTCTATGTGTTCAACCTTAGAGGACCTCTAACAGTAGGATTTATGGCTGTAAAAACAGCCCGAATTGATCTGGGTTTGACAGATCTATGAAACCTACCCCTTGGGCCACATGGCATTTACGACTGCAGGAGTTTCCGGTGGTGATATGGTTTTGTTTTGGACCGAGCTGATGTCTCTAAGTGACACTCTGAGGCTTTGAGGCTACATATTAATCCCAAGAATTCAAAGCTGCCAGAGGCTGGTCCAAGGGCAATATGTACAATTTGGAACGCCAAAATATTTAATCCTCAAAATCTGGAGAAAGATGTGGAAATCAACAGGATCACGCCTTGACGGGAATCAGGAATTTCTTGTTAGTTTCTGAAGTGCACCATTAAATGTTGTTCTGCTGGGCAGTGCTGTCAAATTTACACTCCATTTGTCTTTTACTGTACAACAACAGTGCTTCGGTCTGATTCCAATTTTTTTTGACAGACTCAGAGTTTCTGCAGGCCTTTTAGGAAAACATGTATTTCTAATCATCACTCTTCTACAACTTGTCTTTTAACGGACAGTAGAAACTGCTAGAAAACCAGCGACTACTCTGAGAAAAAACTAAATGACACGCATCTGGAGCCACTTAAACAATTAAAAGTTCCGCATGGAACAGAAAATAATTTGTAGAACTGATTTCCATAACCAGGACCAGTTACTATTGTGCCATGCTGCAGGCTGCAATGCTGGCTAAGTCTTGTGCCTTACAGTAGGTAAGTTCTTGGTTCAAATCCCAGTTTGTGGGAGGTTTTAAACCTAGACTTCCACGTAGATTTTGCTTTAATAAACAAGAGACTCAGTATCAACATCAGGAGTAAATGGAAGTGTGAATGTATGATAACAACTACAATATATTCAATGTATCAAACTCAAGGCCCGTGGGCCAAATGCGGCCCACTAAGTCATATTGTGTGGCCACGAATTGCTACAAGCTACCAAAGCATCACAGATATCAAACTGAACAGAAGCCTTAAAAAGGATATATAATCAAAAAAAGGTTTGGGTCAACGTAAATCTCCTCAGTGTACGTAAAAAATGGTGTCAAAAAAAGTGAAAACAAACTCTAGTTGAAACAGGATCGTGCTTCAGGGTCTGTTTTCACTCACTCAGAGTTTTAGTCAGGGTGAGGGTGAGTTATCAGCCTTTTTTTTGTGCGCTACAAAACAACTAGTCTTTCGTGTCAGTAGAACCACCGCTGTAAAGAACATCGATGTCCTCAGAAGAAGAACTCTGACAGAAGGAAATCAAAGGTTTGGATTGTTCTTTAGAGAAATGTCATCTTGACAGACTGCTAAGCCGTTATTCAAATATGTCATAGATTGGATTCTGTTTACAAAAATCAAATAGAAAGTTAATAGATTTTTTTATATAAAAAAGCAATACATTCTAAAATCAAATGTCACTGTCACTTTTACATGCATTGGCCGAACATTTACTGTAGAGTGAATATATGACTTCATTAAAATAAAGCTTCATTTACATGGATTAGCCACGTACTCCCCCATTAAAAGTTTGACACAGACCTAAAAAAACATTTTCTAAATTTTAATCTTTTTTCCCCCCTGATTTATGGCGTACACAACCCCTTTAAAGGAGCTAAGCCTTTGACAGAGGCTTATTTTAAAACCACAGTAAGCGAAGCAGTAGATAATTACAGAGATGTCACTGCGACTGGATTCATATCTCATAAAAAGACAACATGCAGCAGATGAAGACTGCAAAGAAGCCTGTGATGTTAAGAAAAAAAAAACACAGTTCGGTGGAGACGAGATGGCAGTTTTGGCGCCGCCTCAATTTTCAAAGTTTTGATGGTCGGGTTAACAATTTCCATCCGTTTTTAATCTCGTCGTTTTTCATGACGCGGGAGATTCAGAGCTCATCACAGGGACGGGGCCGTGCTGTCGGTGCAGTTGCTAAGGAAGCCGCACTGGATAAACAGACGTGTTTGAATAATTAAAAATAGACCTCAAGTGTTGGATGTTATTATGTGCAGACGTGTGTGTGAGCACACTGGCCTGCCCACACTCACTAACAGAATAGCACTGAAATGAGGACTGGAGTTCAGATGTGAGAACATTTCCAGTGGATGAATGTACATGTCGTGATGGTCTATTACTTTCACTAAACTTGGACTGAATCTCTGTGTGACTCTGAATTGGCATATTTCTCCCTCTGGCTGAAGTCAGGTGAACTGACAGTTTATGATTAACAATCAATAATTAATCATTCAAGAGGCTGGAAAAATGAACGCTTAAACCAGGATAAATCATTTCTGAAATTATTCAGATTGAAATGTTTAACACAATTTAAGGCAAGTAGAAAGAAAGTAGAATGACGCACTGTGTATCCAATAATTCCATCTTCCATCCACTTATTGTTGCTCTGATATACAATTCATAGACAAAAAAGGTTCTCGTTTTACCAAAGCACCTTAAATTTAAATGCTGATTCATCGCCCGGTATGTGAGAGGAAATTACTTTTTTTGAAAACTGTCTCATCGTCTCAGATCAATTAACTGCATCTCACTAACTCACACTGTCTATCTGATTCTTTAGAGGTTTTTTTAAGGGGGGTAACTTCATACAACAATTGATGATTTTTTTTTTCTTCAGTCAGGCTCTTTTCCCATTGGCTCAGAAGGTCAGTTATTAAATCACCGTGGTTCAGGAGGTCTGGACTACTGCTACTTTGTCTCTATGGATCTTAAAAATACAAGTCAAAGAGACAGCTGCAGCTCATCTCAGCTGCTGCCGTCGACGTCCTCACTAACACCAAGGAAAGTGGTGCGCATTACTTCAGTCCTTAAATCACCGTGTGGCTTCCTGTGTGTCAACAGGCAGACTTTAAGGTCTATAAAACGCTAAATGTTTGTGAAACCTAGCTCTGATTTACTCCAACGCTACAAAGGCCCCAGACCTCTCAGGTCAACCGAGACAGGTTTACTCGTCTTTCCAGAACAGCAACTTCCTGAATCCAAAGTCTGGAAATACTGTCAGGTCATTTGGAAACACAATGTTTGCTTCAGGTCGTTAATTAAGAAAATGTGCAACCTCCTTTTAATCCCATTACCCTGTTTTTCCTTTTTGGCCTTTTTATTTTTATTGTCTCTTAAATGCAGACACCTGGCGTGTCTTTTTTAATTACTCGTGTCTTAGTTTTGATGCATTTCCTTTGGGGCTTTGGCAACAATTTAACTTCATCTAAGTTTGCTCTAGTTTGAACTGTTGAACATACACGCAGATACTTGAAGATAGATTCTGCAGAAATTGTCTCGGACAGATGCCATGTGGTTCACAAAAAAAAAAAAAAAAAAAAATAGCAGTGTGTGGTGGTGTAAGGTGTACTCACAAAAATATAATTCAACAATACAAGTTAAGAAGTTTTTCAACAACAGTTAAATGAAAAATTCTAAACACCTTCAAAAGATCTAATATAATCTTCCAGTCAAAGACAGTGAAGGTGACTTACCCGTGGCCCAGTGACACCTTGGTCACCCTGGAAGACAAACAGGACAAAAGCACGTGTCAGCAGTTAGTAGCTTTGTATAATCATGAATGAGAAAAAAAAAATGCTACGGTAGAACCAGTGTGGCAGACAGGTTTGAACAGTAACACTTCTGTATAAGGGAAGGACATCAACGTAGGTCATCTGTCCTCAGACCAACTGAGGATGTTGACATTCTGCCGTAAATCATTTGAAAAGGCCACAATTGGAATCATCTGCTTGGTTGTGACGGGTTAAGTGAGAGCGGAGTGCACGTGCTTGGGGTTGCTGTTTTTCTGATGAGGATTTGGAGTTCGCGTTCTCATCACAGCACTGTGGCAATGATTACACGAGGAGAGCCAATTTTCCTAAACCTCAGCATCATCTGTCATTTGCAACCAGGGCTCATCAAGCCGGGGTCCTGGTCCGACAGATGCTGTTTACCACTTTAGCCCTGTTCTTGTGGTCGGGCTTATCTGGACGATATTCGCTTGAGCGCAAAGTGTGCATGCACAGGGAGAGACGCGCAACGAGTTTCTCATCAGTTTTCTGCATGTAACGATCTCATGCACGGAGCTGCAGGAGCTGTGCCAGCTTATATGCTCGGCTGGGCTGAGGTTCAGAGAGCGGGAAAACATCTGGCTA